TTACTAATCTTATTAATTTTTAAACAAGTATAATCAAAAAAACATAATACACAGTTCTTAGTTTCCTCTCACTTCAAGGAAATTTTCTGCCTCAATCACTCTAGGCTTCCCTGAAAAGCTCTCTATCATATACAGAATCTATACTTGTTTGTCTGATATATAAAACTATGCTACTAAAAATTAGCAAAGAGAATGTTACACACACATCGCCAGTAATATTTTCTGCTACTACTTTCCCAAGTCACAAGTCACTTATATTACATGGTAACCTAGAGAACACAACACACCCCCCGCAAAAACAATTACAACTTCAAGAGCACTAACTGCCTCAGGAATTATGTACACAATTAAAATTCCAGTCATAAACAATTTTCAAGATAGGAAAATCTCCCAACATCCTCAATCAAACAGCAGGCCCTGATGAAACTGCATAGTAAAAGGTCATCTCTGCCAAACAAAACTCAAGGTCTTTCACTTCATTAAACAACTAAAAGTAAATATATTTACCCAGTACAACCAGTATTTGGCTTCTTACCAACCTTGAACATTTTACTAGAGTCAAATGGTTAGCTATAAAGATATTTATAAGCAATTTTTTCCTTTTCCTGTAACTTGGGAAATATGGTTTAATTAGTTTAAAAAAAAAATCAATAAATCCTAGTAGAAGACAGATTTAATCAAAGTAATGATGAAAACTATTTCTCATGGAGCTAAAAAATCTTATGATCAATGATATTGAGCACCTTTTCACAGACCTGTTGGCCATTTTTATGTATTCTTTGAAGAAATGTCTATTCAGGCCTTTTTAATTGAGTTATTTGTTATTCTACAATTGAGTTGTATGAGTTCTCTGTAAATTTTAGACATTAAGCCTTTATCAGATATATAGTTTGCAAGTATTTTTTCCCAATCTGCAGGTTGCCATTTCATTTTGTTGACTGTTTCCTTTGCTGTGTGAAACCTGTATTTTATACTTACAACACTCTCAATTCAGGCTAATCATATTTCAAGTGCTCAACAGCCACAAGTAACTAGTAGTTCCACATTGGACAGCATACATTTGTAACATAAGTGGGTCAAATACCATTTCTAAGTATCTAAAGCATAGTGACATAATCAACAGAAAATCCTAAGTATCTACGCAAACGCAAAATAGATGTAGATTTACAACGGAGTCAAACATAAGAAAAACAGTTAATACTTATTCAGCATTTATTGTCTACCAGATCCAACTTTAAATGCTTTTCAAGCATTATCTCATTTGATTATCATGGAGGCTACTAGTAATATCTCCTCTTCACATATGAGAAAACTAAGCCACAGAGAAAGTAAGTAAAGATTTAACTAGGGCCATGCTCTTAAACACTACACATGCTATACTGCAAGAAAGATGCCAACAGAAAGCAAAGGCTGTGTTTTTAAAATCAGAATACAGAAGATGGGCATGAAAGAAAAGATAAAGTATGGCATAATGAAGCAAAAACGCTTTCTTGTGGAATTAACAAATTTTTAAAACTGAATCATGTCATATAATACTTTTCCACAAGAAGCCCCAATCTCCAAATAAACAAATACAATTTTAGATTAGAATTTTTAAACTATTAACACAAATATTTTACTTAAACTGGTAATGTAAATCAAAGATATTTGTGACCCAATAGTGAAAAGTATAGTTCAACTTAAAGAAAAAGTAAAGAATAATAGAAGAATAGTTTTAAGGTTAAGGATTTTCCAGTAGAATATTAATTTTAAGATGTTATACTTTTCTTTTTTTAAAACTGTTTATATTTCTGATGTTATTATTCTAATTTTATTGTGAACTTTTTTTAATAGTCTCATTCTCTTTTATGGAACCTCATTCACCTATCACTTCAAATAACAAAAAATTATGAGAAGATAAAACAGGCAAGAATAGAACTAGCTTCTTCCTATATCTCAATTCTAAAAAAAAACCAGAATAATGTGCAATACTGAACATCATATTAAATAGGTACATCGTACCTCAAGATTTTTAGCTAAAACAAGGGGACAATGTTTACTTTCACATGAACATGCTATCAGCAGAATGACATAAATATTGTCTAATGTTCATAAAAAGTGTGGATAAAATGCTGGACATCTCTTTAGAAAGTAATATTCAAAAATTCCTCACCTGAAAAAAACAGTCTTATGTTAAAGAAAGTCTGTGATCAGAGCTTAGATTGTCTGACCTTTTTGTGTACTTAAAATCACAAGATAAGGATAGCCTTGATCCACAGTTGAAGGCCATGGCTGTCTGCACACTAACTTTGACCTTTCCAGGGTGTCACTGGAAAGCTTAATCATACCACCTTGAGTTACATAATAAACCTATCAACATACTGTTTTTACTATCCCTCCCACATGTTCAAAACTTCACAAAGTGGCCAGATCTAAGAGGAGGGCCTCTTAATGGAAGAAAAGTTCATTTGCACAATGTGCCTGAGCTGATATTTAGCAATAGAACAAAAACAAAGGAGTCAATCTGTCACCTGCCCATAACAAAGAAACACCTCAGCTTACTAAAAATTTCCCATAAAATATGTTCACATCACTTACATTTTGTCATTGATCATTTTGAATGACTTCATTAATAATTGTCTCATATAGCCTACAAAGTTCATCTGTGGGCTTTTATTGTTTTTCTTTTTCCTTTTGACTGCCTACTAGTATATGTGTCAGGCACCGGGTCTGGTCCTTTCATACACACCATCTCATATTATTCCTGTTACAGTCTCCTCTAGGAGTTAACAAATGATAGAATCAAAATGACTACACCACTAACTTATCTCAGTTTTTTTTCCTAAGATGACAATTCAGGGATCCTCATATAAAAGTATAGTATCTAAGAAACAATTATTTAGACTACAAAATCTTAAAATTAGTATGTATTTATAAATGTCTTTTGTTCTTTGATTACTCTCAAAACAGATTCAACAGAAATAAATTTAAGTACAAAACAATCTTTCAAAAAACTAATACTAAAATCTTTAGTGTTGCCAGAGAATACAGGTAATTAAAGTCACATCTGTGCTAAATTATAAATCACAAATATGAATAATCACTATACACTTAGATTATAACATTAGCACACAAAATATAAAACTTAATAGTTCTAAAATAATCTAATAATATTTTAACATATGATTCAAGATAAAGCATCAACTTATATGATTCAATATAAAATACTCAAAAAAAAAATTCCAAGAGCCAGCCGGGTGCAGTGGCTAACACCTATAATCCCAGCTACTCAGAAGGCTGAGGCAGGAGGATCACTTAAACTCAGGAGTTTGAGGTCACCGAGAGTTATGATGACACCACTGCACTCTTGCCAGGGCAACATAGCAAGATTCTATCTCAAAAAAATATTCCAAGAACCAATTCCCCTGTAATTGGCCCTTAGTCCACACAAAATGACAAACATGATCAGAGCCTTCCTCTAATAAATATAATCTAACAAAGCAAAAAGACAACAGAAATTCATTCAAAGTGAAGGAGGTACATTTAGACACCAATGAAAAGCTCAAGAACATAACATACACTGCATGTCTCCAAAAACTAAACGTAGTAACCTTACCTGTTTCTGAAATGTATGTAACAGGATCCTGCCGTAAAATTTTACCAGGTTTAGAAGTCAATGGCAATTTTTCTGGTTGCTTTTTGGCATCTTTTACCTGCATTGTCTCCTCTGATTCTGAATCTGTGAGAGGAAAATAAAACTTTAAAAAGAAATATTATAATAATATAGTGTATTTTAAAGTAGTTAAAATAAAATTTTAAAAAGAAATATTATAATATAGTATATTTTTAAAATAGTTATGATGAACCAATTCCTCAAGGTCCTTTTCAAAGCACATCTCTTGTGAATTCTCACAGGTCACTTTTAACCAGTGTTAAGCCTAGGTATTAGTTTTCTACTGCTACTGTAACAAATCACCACAAACTTAGTGGCTTAAAACAATATAAATTTATTACTCTGTAGTTCTGGAGGTCAGAAGTCCAATGTCGGTCTTGTTGGACTAAACTCAAAGGTGTCAGCAGGGCTGTGGTCCTTTCCAGACACTCTAAAAAAGAATCCATTTCTTGCCTTTTCCAGTTTCTAGTGGCTGCCAGCATTTCTTGGCTCGCAGCCCCTTCCCTCCGTCTTAAAAACCAGCAACATCAAGCAGAGTCCTTCTCGTGCCGCCATCTCTCTGATTCTCTCACCTTTCTCCATAGTTAATCTCTCTCAAAATCTCTTCTGCTTCCCTAGTGGCTGTGACTACACTGAGCCCACCTGAATAATCTAGGATAACCTCCCTATTTTAAGGTCATCTGATTAGCAACCTTAAGGCCATCTGCAACTTTTATTTCCCTTTGCCACGTAACCTAACACAGTCACAGGTTCTAGGAATCTTTTTTTTCCTATTAATAGGATATTTTGGGGGGCCATTATTCTGCCTACCACAGCCTAATTGCCAGAGCACTTAAATATAAATCAGGACAAAGTGTGAGGACTTAGCATAGTATCTGGTAAAAAACATATGTTTCATATAAACTTTAGCGTCCTTCTTCCTCTGCACCATACATTTATAAATCCTGTCTCATACTGTTCTAAATTGTATAGAACAATTAAATTTCCACAGTTTCCCAAAAAAAAAAAAAAAAAAAAGAAACTCTCAAGGGAAAAGGGACATGTACTTGTTTGTTTCAAATTCCTCAGGCCCACAGTAAACACTCAAGTACTTTTAGAATTAAGTAAGAACCTTTCATATCACTGTCAAAAATATTGACAATCCTCGGCCGGGAGTGGTGGCTCACGCCTGTAATCCTAGCACTCTGGGAGGCCAAGGTTGGAGGATCACTTGAGCTCAAGAGTTCGAGACAAGCCTGAGCAAGAGCGAGACCCTGTCTCTACTATAAATAGAACAAAATTAGCCAAACAACTAAAAATAGAAAAATTAGCCCAGCACGGTGGTGCGTGTCTGTAGTCCCAGCTACCCAGGAGGCTGAGGCAGGAGGATCGCTTGAGCCCAGGAGCTTGAGGTTGCTGTGAGCTAGGCTGACGCCACGGTACTCTAGCCCAGGCAAGAGAATGAGATTCTGTCTCAAAAAAAACAAAATATTGACAATCCATAAATGCGTCTTAGGCTACATTTTTAAGAATTCATATCAGATAAAAATAAAAATTAAAGGAAGAAAAGAATTCACACCAGATGGATCTTCTCCACAAAACCAAAAATTGAAACTTTTTGAATTCTACCATCATTTTACCAACATTTTCTGCATCATAAAAGGCATGCACAAAAATTCACTTTCCTGGCTGGGCACGGTGGCTCATGCCTGTAATTCCAGCACTTTGGGAGGCCAAGGTGGGAGGATCACTTGAGGCCAGGAATTCAAAACCATCCTGAGCAACACACTGAGACCCTGTCTCTACAAAAAACAGAAAAATTAGCCGGGCATGGCGACGTGCACCTGTAGTTCCAACTACTCAGGAGGCTGAGGCAGAAGGATCGCTTGAGCCCAGGAATTTTAGGTTGCAGTGCCAGGGCACTGCCAGGGCAACAGAGCATGACCTTGTCTCAATAAAAAAAAAAAAAAAAAAAAATTCACATTTCCTATTTTAAAACTATATTCAAAGGAAAGCCTTTGTGTTTATTCCTTTTTAAATGCCACAAAAATGAACCAGATCTTTTAATCAAGCAAAAAAGTGAAAATTTAGACCTTTGCCTTAAAAACAATATTCTAAAGTACTATTTTTAAAATGTTTCCAGGGGGGAGGGGAGGGAGCGGGCAGGAGTAAAAAAAAAAAGGTTTCCAGGAACCTTAGCTCAAGATGAGTTAATATGAATATTTTAAAAATAAACATATCAGGCCGGGCGCGGTGGCTCACGCCTGTAATCCTAGCTCTCTGGGAGGCCAAGGTGGGCAGATTGTTTGAGCTCAGGAGTTCGAGACCAGCCTGAGCAAGAGCAAGACCCCCGTCTCTACTAAAAATAGAAAGAAATTAATCGGACAACTAAAAATATATAGAAAAAATTAGCTGGGCATGGTGGCTCATGCCTGTAGTCCCAGCTACTTGGGAGGCTGAGGCAGTAGGATCGCTTGAGCCCAGGAGTTTGAGGTTGCTGTGAGCTAGGCTGATGCCACAGCACTCTAGCCACAGCAACAGAGCAAGAGTCTGTCTCAAAAAAAAAAAAAAAAGATTCTTGGGGGACTGTTGGGATGGAATGAACGTATTCTGCATTCAAGAAGGACATGAATTTTGAATGGCAATGGTGGAATATTATGGCCTCAATGTCTGCATCTCCCAAAATTCATATGTCGAAGCCCTAACCCCAAATGTGGCTATATTTGGAGATGGAACCTTTAAATAAGTAATTAAGGATAAGTAAGGTCAAACAGGTAGGGCCCTGATCTGATAAGATTAGCATTCTTAAAAGAAAAGACACTAGAGTCCTTATTCTCTCTCCACGCATACACACTACATGTGCACCAAATACACACTGAGAAAAAGCCACATTGAAGACACAGCAAGAAGGTAGGAATCTATAAACCAGAAAAAGAAACTGATTCAGTTTCACCAGAAACTGAATTGGTCAGTACACTGATCACAGATTTCTAGCTTCCAGACTGTAAGAAAATAAATTTCTGTTACTTAAGCCATTTATTCTATTAAGTTGGTGCAAAAGTAATCGTGGTTTTAGCATTGTTTAAATTTGCTGATATTAGAATACATTCTTAAATGTGGTTATGTTATACATCATTTTAATGCACATTTCTTGCTTTGTGTTTTTTTGCTAATGACTTATTACTTGCTGTTTATTTTATATTTATTTTAGACTATGGAAATGATATTAGACAAAAAGCAAATTCCAGTGATTTTCTCATTTGAGTTGAAAATGGGTCGTGAAGCAGCGGAGACAACTCAAAACATCAACAACGCATTTGGCCCAGGAACTCCTAAGGGACATACAGTGCAATAGTGGCTAAAGAAGTTTTGCAAATCACTGTTTGAGAAAAGCAACCTTGATGTTGATGCTGATGTTGGCAATTTCCAGAGCATATCACAAATCAGTAAACTTGGGTGACATTAATAAAATTGTTGGCTGTTTAAGGAAAAAAAAAAAGAAGTTTTGCAAAGAAGACAAGAGCCTTGAAGATGAGGAGCAAAGCGGCTGGCCTGGAAAAATGACAGTGACCAATTGAGAGCAATCATCGAAGCTGATCCTCTTACAATCACATGAGAAGTTGCCTAAGAACTCAACATCGACCATTCTATGGTTGTTTGGCATTTGAAGGAAACTGGAAAGATGAAAAAGCTTGAAAAATGGGTGCCTCGTGAGCTGACCGAAAACCAAAAAAACTGTCATTTTAAAATGTCGTCTTCTCTTGTTGTATGCAACAATGAACCATTTCTCAATCAGATTGTGACGTGTGATGAAAAGTGGATTTTATACAACCTGTGACAACCAGCTCAGTGGCTGGACCAAGAAGCAGCTCCAAAGCACTTCCCAAAGCCAAACTTGCACCAAAAAAAAGGTCATGGTCACTGTTTGGTGGTCTCCTGCCAGTCTGATCCACTACAGCTTTCTGAATCCCAGAGAAACCATCACATCTGAGAAGTATGCTCAGCAAATCGATGAGATGCACTGAAAACTGCAATGCCTGCCGCCGGCAGCAGTCAACAGAAAGGGCCAACTTCTCCACAACAACACCCGACAGCACATCGCACAACCAATGCTGCAAAAGTTGAACAAATTGGGCTACAAAGTTTTGCCTCATCCACAATATTCACCTGACCTCTCGCCAACCGACTTACACTTCTTCAAGCATCTCCACAACGTTTTGCAGGGAAAACGCTTCCACAACCAAGAGGATGCAGAAAATGCTTTCCAAGAGTTCCTCAAATCCTGAAGCATGGATTTTTATGCTACGGGAATAAACAAACTTATACCTTGTTAGCAAAAATGTTTTGATTGTAATGGTTCTGATTTTGATTAATAAAGACGTGTCTGAGCATAGTTAAAACGATGTAAAATTCAGTCCAAAACCACAATTACTTTAGCATCAACCTAATATTTTGTTATGAAAGCCTGAATACATGACCCAAACACTCAAGAGAAAAGGCCCTTAATGGAGACCAATTCTTGATATAAACCACTGTTAGAATTAGCAGACAAGAATTTTAAAACAGCTAATATAACTACACTCAAAAACAGAAGAGAAAAACTGTGAAAAGGAACCAAATGAAAATTCTAGAACTGAAAAATATAATATTTAAAGCTTTGCACAGTGGCAGTATCATAGCCAATGAGGTTTATCTGAGGTGCAATTATGGCTAATTGAAAACTTTTCCCAATACCTCACCATAACGACTTGAAATACAGTTGGCACTGGCAATTTTTGACAGTCTCAACGGAGACTGAAAAAAAATAAAATAAAAAAATAAAATAAAAATTTCACTAGACAGCCTTAAAAGCGAATTGGAGATAAAAGAAGAATTAATGAACTTGAAGACGGAAAAAGAGAAAGTATCCAATCTGAAAAAAGACTGATAAAAATGAATAAGCCTCAATAATGTGTGAGACAATAGCAAATTCTAACATGTATGTGATTGTAATTCAAAAAGAGAGAATGAGGCAGAACAAATATTTGAAGAAATAATAGCAAAAAGCTCCCAAATTTGATGAAAGATATAAATTCATAGATTCAAGAAGCTCAGAAACCATAAAAAGAATAAATGCAAGAAAACCACCCCTAGGCACACCATAGTCAAACAGCTGAAAACCAAAAATAAATAAAACATCTTTAACGAATCACGATAAAAACCCAAATTACACATAAGAGAAAACAATATGAATGACTAGTAACATCTCATCAGACAAACTGGAGGCCAAAAGACAATAGAACATCTTTAAAGTGCTGAGACAAAAAAAAACTGTCAACCCAAAATTCCACATCCAGCAAAAAATATCCTTCAAGAACAAAAGCAAAATAAAGACAATTTTAGATAAACAAAAACTTACAGAATTCATCACCAAAAGATCTATAAGAAATGCTAAAGAAAATTATTCAGGTTGAAAGAAAATGATATTAGATGAAAACTCAGATCTTCAGTGAGAATGAATAGCACCAGAAATAGCAAATACGTGGGTAAACTGAAGAGAGTAATTTTTTTCCTAATTTCCTTATAGCACACATGCCTATTTAAAGCAAAATTATACTGAATTGTGAAGTATTAACACAGATGCAATACATATGACAACTAGGGCATAAAGAATGGAATGGTGTCAAATGGACTTATAAAGTTGCAAGAGTCTTACATTTTTACAAAAAGTGGAACAATATTTTTTTTTCTTTAGAGACAGAGTCTGGCTCTGTCGCCATCATAGCTCACTGCAGCCTTGAACTCCTAGGCTCAAGCCATCCTCCTGCCTCAGCCTCCCAAGTAGCTTAGGACTACAGGTGTGTCCAGCTAATATTTTTTTCCATTTTTTGTAGAAACAGGGTCTCGCTATGTTGCCCAAACACAAGGAATCCTCCCACTTCAGCTTCCCAAAGTGCTGGGATTACAGGCATGAGCCACCACACCTGGCCATAAAGTGGAACAATATTAATTCAAGTACGCTACTATAGCCATTGCCTGCTTTCCATATTGACACCGTATCTTAACTTCTCTGAGGCCCATGGAGGAACAGGGTAAAGAATAAATCTTGCCTTCAAAGCCTTCCCTCACCATTAGTCTAACACCATTCACCTGACGATAGGGGCTCACTGTGAGCAAACTTTGGTCCTAAAATGCAAAGTTTTAACAACTAAAAAGGGCGCCTTTCTACATCAGGAAAACCAAGGAAAACACCAAGCTATAAATGTAGTAAGCTATATTAATCAGAAATAAGGAATAGCCTTATTACTTCTACTGCTAAGTGAGTTGAAATCTACACTTACTCAAAGCTCCCAACATGTCCAGTTTAGGAACTGAGCCTATTTAACATTTCATATAATGCAAAATTGTATCTGGGAAACTGACCTTGATTTCCTTTATTCCTTTTTTTCCTTTTAAAGTTTCTTCAGCAGACTTTGTTTTCTCATTCTTCTTTACTGTTTCAGTTACAAGTTTCTTTCCACTTGGTTTAACTCCAAAGAATTTCCGAATGTCCTAGAAGCAAAAAAGGAGATTTATAAGTAAACATTAACAGCATAAAATTCTAATTTCAATTTTAAAATGGATAGCTTTACACACACGCTGGCTTAGCCTGAGAAATTTGTCCAAATCGAGATAGTTCCATGTGTGCAGTAGCATTTTTTTTAAGTGCAAAAGTTAACTGATAAAATTACCTGAGTTAAAAATAATTTGTCTAGGAGTTCACTTGCTCAAGGCCTCTTGGGCGTGGCTCCAAGTGAAATAAAATAAATAAATAAAAATAACTTGTCTAATGAAAAGTAATACTAATTCTCAGAATCTGACCAAAAACAGGGCAAAAATAAGCAAGTGGAATTTTTGTTACTGATAGCACAATTATTACACAGGCAAGTAGTAGGCAGTATTTATTGATCAAGTAGACATACATCCCATCGTCCCAGGCACAGTTGGAGAGAAGACAAAGTGTTGAAGAAAACAATCCTTGTCTGTGGGACTTATACTCCAGTTTGAGAGAAGAATAACTCTCACAACTCTGATCATTCTTAATAACTGAAAACCTTCAAATTATTTTTCTTTGTATGATTTCCCCAAATTCCCAAGAAAAAACTTTGATGCTTATTGCAATATGCTCTTTACCCAGGTTAAACTACAGAATTCAAATTAATCATACTGAAACATTTACAATGTAATTGACAATTAAAATTACTCACTTTTTTCATCCTTTGAATATATATTCTTCCCTATCCTTCTCACATTTAGTTTTGAAGAAACCGTGGTGTACAGGAGAGGGAATAGACCTTAGAAAGCTTTGGTTTGAATCTGTGCTCTAGTGCTTTCCACCTATGTGACCTTGGGCAAGTTACTTTGTCTGTTTTCTCCTCAGTAAAGTGGGACTAATAATACCTAGCCTTTATAAGGATTAATTGTGTATTTATCATAATTTTGGCTCATTAGAAAGCTTCCCTTCACCTCATTTCTGAACTAATATCCCTTCATATTACTGAAACACTGCATTTATAATTATCTCTGCTAATAGGCAAGAGTATAAAGAATACAAAATAATGAGAAAAATTTAGGATATGAATTCCAAAAAACTGGATTCAAGAACCAGCTGTACCTTTCCCTCTTCCTATCCTTGATTATTATAATCGTGAGTTTTCGATACTTTTTATCCCTCTAACCTCTCTTTACTGTATGAGAGAAATGCCCACAAAAGTACTTTATAAAGTATACAAAAAGCTAGCAATTACATTCTAGATCCTGGTAGTAATTATCATACTCTTAAAATGCCAAAAATCTCAAACAAATATGTTACACACACACACACACACACAGACGCACACACAGCTTTGTGGCTAACCCAATAAACAAAGCAGATAAATGAGGTACACAGGCCTGTTAAATTGGGGGCGGGGGGAAGGTTAAAGACTTCCCTAGTTTTATACCCTCTTTTGTAAGTCTGCTCATATAGAAAAGTTACAAATCCATCCTAATTAAGTCTAAGTCTAGGGGGGCCAGAGGGAACAAAAAAAGAAAAAAAAAGTCTAAGTCTAAAAAATACGCTTACAGAATGTATACCTCACAGCAGTGAAACTGAGACATCTGTGTCAGATGCTAAAGAAAAGAAGAATAAAGAAAACCACAGTCTTTTTTATAACTTGCAAAGAATCAAATTTGAGGCTGACAACTACTTCATTGCTTCTGGAGGAAATGAGAGTTTCACATCAGAGTTTCACTTTTTTTTTTTTTTTGAGACAAAGTCTCACTCTTTTGCCCGGGCTCGAGTGCCGTGGCGTCAGCCTAGCTCACAGCAACCTCAAACTCCTGGGCTCAAGCGATCCTACTGCCTCAGCCTCCCAAGTAGCTGGGACTACAGGCATGAGCCACCATGCCCAGCTAATTTTTTCTATATATTTTTAGTTGTCCGATTAATTTCTTTCTATTTTTAGTAGAGACGGGGGTCTCGCTCTTGCTCAGGCTGGTCTCGAACTCCTGAGCTCAAACAATCCTCCCGCCTCGGCCTCCCAGAGTGCTAGGATTACAGGCGTGAGCCACCGCGCCCGGCCCAGAGTTTCACTTTTGAAATTACACAGCGATTCTTCATCAAACAGTGGTGATTGTTTAAACATACACACAGAGAAAGAGAGTGCGCATGCACCACAGAAATACCAAACTGTACGCTAATAATCCGGTTAAAGAAAGTAGCGGTTTTCAACCTGTTTTAGAACCACCAAGTGCCTCCAACCACAAAGAGAAAACAAAATGTAATTCAGAGAATGAACTGCTGGCAATATTGAGCTAATTTATGCCTGTATAAAAACCCACGCTGCCACTCCTCCACACTGTTACACCTTTCCTTCCTAAGCAATTCTTCCCACTCATATCTCCTTTCTTTTCCTTTCCCATTATTTAACCCTCCTTCCCCACACTTCCCATACTCTGATGGCAGCATAAGACTAAAAGAAATTACAGCATCTTGATCTAACTCAGTCTACACTAAAAATCTAAACTTAGGGGTAAGAATTTTCATCAGAATGGAAGCCATCCTACTCACATCTTTTTAGGACTATCTCCAGTGTGAGCAGCCATCTTGGGTATAAACATCTAAGAGGCAGATATTAGCAATTTGGCCTTAACTTACAGAGGCAGAGATTAGCAATTTGAATGTGACTTCACCTGAACTCTCCTAATTACCATTTCCTGTCTAGTAGTCCAGGTCTTCCAAGATTTCATGAAATGCAGAATAAGTCTAAGAGCTAATCATATGCCCAAATAATAGATCTGAACACCTCCCTTATCTGTAAAGAATAATTCTTGCTGAGTGTGTAAGTAGAAAAATGAAGAAATTTGTAAAGTGATTTTTATAACGTTGGCAAGGGAAAGGCCTTCAAAGCAGAAGGCCTTTCTGCTAGAATCAAGGCTAGAAACCAACCATAAAGAAAGGCTGATTTTAATCTGTCACGGGATTAGAGTTTTAAAAAAAAAAGAAAGGCAGATTTGACTACATAAAAATACAACAAAAGATGTCATAAATAAAGTTAAAATACAAGCAACAGAGCTGGGCACAATGGTGCAAACCTGTACTCCCAGCTACTCGGGAGGCCGAGGCAGGAGAATCACTTGAGCCCAGGAGTTTAAGTTCAGCCTGGGCAACACAGCAAGACCTCACCTGAAAAACAACAACAACAACAAAAACCCACAAGCAACTAGCTTAAAAATATGTACAACATATGTAATATACAACAGGGCTCCTACAAATCAATAAAAGATAATCCAAAAGAAAAATGAATTAAAGCTGCTAATAGGCAAAGTATAAAAGAAATACAAATAACCAACGCACATAATAAAAGGTGTTCAACTTCATAAATAATGAGCAGATAAATTAAAACTTGATTAAATTAGTTTTAAGATGGTGTCCAAATTTGTCAAGGACGTGGGGGAACAGATGCTCACACACTACCCAGCTGATAAAAAATAAAAACTGACATAAGTTACTTCATTTCGCTGTCCCTTAGTTTCCTTGGGATGCCACTTGTCTCATAAGATCCCTGTGAGAGTCAGAGGTGGGAAACTAAAAATCTTCAGCATGGAACCTGGCCCTCTAACTCGAAATCTCCATCACAGTTTTCCACTTGACCGTGACTGCCCCCTCACAGATTTCCTGTAACTCTAAGGATCCATGCAAAAGTAGCCATACCCCACAATTAGCAAAGTGGCCTTTCTCTTCTCCTTATTCCTGATACATTTGATCCTCACATGCTTACAGGCAGACAGTGTGCCAGGGACTTACGGCACAAAGTGACCATTCCTTCATGAAGAAAATGGCCTCATGAAGCTACCTGGAAGACAAACTAGTATATAAAGAATTAAATATCATACAATCAGCTAAGACAAAGTTAATCATAAGGCTATGCAAGCACCAGAAGCACCTAATACAGATGATTTCAGGGACTGCTTCCCAAAAGAAACACCTGAACTGGGTCTCAAAATGATTACTACAGATCCAGAAATCCCACTACTGAGTATTTAATTTACCCAAAGCAAATGAAATCCATATGTCACAGATACCTGCACTCCCATGTTTACTGAAGCACTATTCACAATAGCCAAGATATGGAATCAGTCTAAGTTTCCATCAATGGATGAATGGATAAAGAAAATGTGGTATATATACACAATGAAATACTATTCAGCCATAAAAAAGAATGAAATTCTGTCATTTGTGACAACATGGATGAATGTGGAGGGCATTATGATAAATAAATAAGCCAGACACAGAAAGACAAATAGCACATGATCTCACTCATATAAGGAATCTAAAAAAGTTGATCTCATAGAAGCAGAGTAGAAAAGTGGTTACCACAGGCTTGCGGGGAAGGCAGTAGTGGGGAGGAGGAATGGAGAGAGGTTGGTCAACAGGTACAAAGTTACAGTTAGATTGGAGGAGTAAGTTCTGGTGTGCTATTGCACAGTAGGGTGACTATAGTTAATAATGTATATTTCCAAATAGCAAGAAGGGAGGACTTTGAATGTTCTCACCACAAAGAAACAATAAATGTTTGAGGTGACAGATATGCTAATTACCCTGATTTGATCATTATACAATATATACGTGTATCGAAACATCACATTGTACCCCATAAATATGTACATTATGTGTCAATTAAAAATAAAATAAAGTAAAGCTGGGTGCAGAGGCACCTGTAGTTCCAGTTACTCAGGAGGCTAAGGCGGGAGGATCACTTGAGCCCAGGAATTGAATGTTGCAGTGATCTATGATTGCAACATTGCATACCAGCCTGGGCAAGTTTGAGTTCAGACTGGGCAACATTGCAAGACTCCATCTCTAAAAAATAAAATAGAATAA